ATATATTTCGGATGAGTACTTTCTTCTTCCGGGCAGAGTTTATCTCCTCCTCGTTATCCTCTGCGGCAAATACTGTCGATGTGGATTCAGCGCAGTTCGTTGTTTGTTTGGCACACTCAGTTTGTAAGCCGCTGTGGTGAGGCATGAAATCTCGTAGCTCAAGCAGAGACATAAGGCGCGTCTCCATTGGATGTGCGGGGACTCACAGGACCTCTGCAGAGGAAAGACGACAGGACGGAGGAACAGAGGTGAGGTGATGGAGAGAATAATAAGCATGATAATTGATTGTTATCAATAAAAATTATGGCGAATAAAACAAATATCAATACACTTATTCATCCTATTTTCTTTTTAATTCTATTTTATGTCCAAGATAGTTATTGTCATTATTTTGTACCTGCGACATGCTGAGGCTTCATCGGGCCCGTCTTCATCAGGAAGGGCTCTCCTCCTTCGAACGCCAGGATCGGCTCGCCCACCAGCCCGCTCTGCTGCTGTCCGGGGTTGCTGCCGTTGTTCAGCTGGTTGATCTCCTCGAAGTCCGCCGCCTCTCCGTTGGCTGAGACGCCATTTTGGTGAGAGGTTGCCTGCACGCCATTCACGACTGCACTGGGGCTCTGCAGGTTTCCAGGAGCTGCGGAGAGATGAGAGAAAAATGAATGAGCTCATCAGATCTTGGTTGATAACATCTTCACTTCGCTCTGCGTGAGAGGTGACGTTACCTTTATTGAGCTCTGTGTCTTTGCCGTTGACCTGTGGAGAAGCTTTGACGTCCTTCTGTGATGATAAAGAAGAGAGAGTTATGTCGTGACAAGATGAGGTTTAGTAGTTTTCCAGTTTAAAATGAATCCCGCTGGCTGACCTTCTCTCCTGCGTCACTCTTCCGAGTCCTCTTCATGATCTCCTCGAGGCGCTGACGGAGAGATCAATAAGTTAGACACAGGGATCAACTCAAGTGTGACATGTGTCGTGCAGCGTTAAGATGCTGTTTTCCTCTCTTCTTCCTCACCTTCTTCCTCTCCAGTCGCTCCTGCTCTTCTTTCTGGAAGTGTTTCTCCCTCTCGACGCGCTGACGCTCGGCCTCCTCACGGGCCTTTGCCTCGGCCTCCTCCCTCTAAGTAAAGAAAACACGAAAATGAAGCCAACAAATAATTAGAGTTGAATTAAAAATCAAATATACTGTTTAAGAGATACTATTGCAGGAGACAACATCTCACTCGTCTGTGTATGAGTGTAGACACACGTGAGTATATGTGAGGGGTAAGAAGAGGACACAAATGTTTTTATGTGATCATAGCTTCACAGCCTGCTGCTGTCTTTCATCTATAATCATTTGTGGCCACCAGGAGGCAGCAAGTGCTCAGTTGTCTGTGGTTCGTTCTGCAGGTTCATGGTTGACGCAGCAATGATACAAAGTGATGCATCTTGGACTCAAACAAACACCCGCTGGTTCGAAACTTTCCCCGAGAGTCACCGGGTCACATGATGTTGAAACCCTGCAGGAACATGGCGGCCGCAGTTGTCCGGGTCAGACGCTGTGTTCAGGTTTACTCTCCTCCTCTGTGATGACAGAACTCTGCCCTCACTGGCTCCAGGCTTCACTGACACACATGACATGTGTGAACTTCAGATCTGTCATCTCTCCCAGAGGGGACGCAACTTATTTGACCTCTAACTTTTAATTTCTTTTGTGTCTGGTCTGAAAATCTTTTTGGAAAAATGCGGGTGTGAGTTCAGTGACGCCACAGGAAGTAGAATGTCTCTGACTCGACCATCATGTCAGTCAAAGTGAGTGAGGACAGAAACAAACGCAGCTATTGTATCATTGACACCATTAAGAGCTTCACTGGGTATTTAGATCCAGTGCAGATGTGTCGAGTCTGCAATGAAAACAGAAATTATGATGTGTGAGTAGAACACATCTGTCGAGGGTTGAGCAGCTGCATCCTGATGTTTCTCACGTTTCCCAGTTCACAGAGTTGTTGTTTTTTTTATCGTTATCTTCTTCAACACTCTTCTTCACCACTCTTCTTCACCACTCTTCATCTGAAGTGAGATCCAAAAAAAACAAGAGGCCACTCCAGTCTGGAGCGAGTTTCGCTGTCGGGGTGGAACAATGGTTTGATTGAGGGTGAGAGGCGAGTCGAGCCAGGGCCTCGGGCGCTGCGTACACCGACGCTGCTTATCCGACCATCAGCCCACTGCGGAGGACGAGCGTTCGAGACGGAGGCGACACAGGCCTGTCACTATCTCCCCCGGATCACGATGGCTCCCTGCAGCCTCCGTTCATCAGCGTTATTATGAAGGTCACCAGCTGGCATCTGCCCAGGCAGACAAGGGGCTCTCTGACGATCACATGACACACATTGCCGCGTGGCTGCAGCACATAACCCCCCCCCCATCTAATCTGCCCAGATGCCAGACAGTCGGGGGGGTGAGGGCCTGATGTTTGGGCCCCGAGTATGGTAAAGTAACCCCCCCCCCCCTCTCTCACACACACACACACACACACACTCTCTCAATGGCTCGTATGCATTAATCTTCCCACAGATGGTAAATGGGTTTACTGCATGTGGGGATCACAGGGATTGGTGTCGGTTAATGGAGATGAGAAGGGTTTCGGTGGTTTCACAGAGTATTTACAGTTGACTGGAAGCCTCATCTGTTTCAGTGAGAGCAGAGTGTAATCAAGGTTGAGGGTTCAATTCCCAGTAGATGTCAGCAGCGTAGTCAAGGAGTTTTGTTTCACTGTTTATTCAAAACTTAATCACTTGATCTCATCACAAGGTCCCTTTTGAAACCGTTTTTTCAGAAACGAGGAAATGAAAGTTCAGGAACAACGTGATGTTTGTGAGATGTAAAGGAGTCAAGCTCAGTTCCCGGCGACTCACCTGTTTCTGCGCCCTCTCGTTCTCCTCCTGCTCGGCTTTAGCTCTCTCCTGCTCCTCCTTCTCCTCCTGAGCTCGCTGGACCTCGTCTCTCAGACGCTGCTGCTCGGCCATGAACCGAGCCTCCTCCTCTCTGCGCTTCCGCTCCTCGGCCTCCCGGGCCATCGCCTCCTCCCGCAGGAGCCTGGAGAGATGTTTGTGAAAGATGAAGTTTCAGCAGTTTGTGGGATTTTAAACTTCACACTTCATTTTGCACATGAGGGAAACGTCCAGAGACGTTTTTAAGTCAGTGCAGAGGAGCTCAGATGAACCTAAAGAAACATGAATTATAAACGACATAAACAGAGCTTCAAATTAGTTTTCAATCAGAATCATTCATTTGATTTAAATTAAGTTTGAATTTGTTACTGCCCTTGAAGAAATCAGGAAATCAAAGACATGAGAACCGGAGCGTTATGAATTAAAGAAATCACAGGTTATCGGGTGTTTCTGTTATTTTGTCCTCTGACCTGTTCTTCTGCTCCTGCTCCAGACGCTCTTGCTCCTCTCTCTCCCGCTGCTCTCGGGCTTGTCTACGTTTCTCTGCCAGGGCACGAGCTGCCTCCTCCTGGTTGTTGGTGCCCGCTGACGGCTTGCTGGCCGGGGCAGCTGGGGCGGGAGCAGCTGGGGCAGGGGCAGCTGGGGCAGGGGCAGCTGGGGCGGAGGCGGCGGCGGCGGCGACATTGGGTGCAGCAGCAGAAGGAGCGGGATTACTGGTGGAGGCTGCTGCAGGAGACGCAGCCGAGGCAGTCGGCTCTACACTTGGCACTGCAGGAGGAGAAGATGCTGTCCCAACCGATGGGCTGAGGGAAGGAGGTGACACCCGAGCTGAGGAAACCACGATGGCGGGAACGTTACCGGAGTCTGAGAGAGAGAGAGAGAGAGACGACGAAGAGGAGAGGTGATGCTGCTGTTTTCTGAAACCTCTGGAACGTGGAGGTTAACATCTGAAGCGTGGAAAACCGTTTTATGCTACACATACAGGTCACCTTGAAGCCTGGCGGGCAACACTCACTCT